AAGAAGCATCCACATTAATCTTGATCCAATCGGGTGGAGGAGGATGCCAAGAATCTTTAAACAACCGAGATGGTTGATTAACATCCCATAGGCCCGATTTATTTCTATTGGAAATAGAAATTGATTATTTTAGTTTGAATGAGCTTTTCACAAGTCACCACCAAATGCTTAACATCTTCAATTTCCAAGCAACCTCTTGGACATAAGCATCCTTCCTTAAGTCCTCTGTATTCAAGGAAATGAAAGGTTGGAATAGCTTTATGGAATATCCTCCACCAAAAAACTTCAGTCCTTGAATTGAGCTTAATCTTCTTCATCCAAGACCAATAGCTTCCTTTACTATCATTCATTAAAAAAGCCTCATAAGATAAAGTCGTAAGTGTTTTTCTAGAATTATAAGAAATGAGTTCCATTTGATCATATCCAGCATCAAGATCAATATTCAATTCACATATAATCTGAAGCAAATCCTCTCCGAACACCTCAAGCAGTTTATCAGTGTTCCATCTACCATTTTCCAGAAATTGATCTACACAAAGATCATTAATAAGTTGATTATTAAAAAACGTTGGCCATTTACATAAAGCTTTATCAAGTATCCAAACATCCTCTGATACTTTAATATTTTCATCAGTAGAAATCCTCCATCTAATAATAGGTTTAAGATCCTTAGCACCACTTCTTAAGATTTTACATGTAGGAGATAAATTCTGCTTCCATTCCGGAATCCAGCCAGAATTTCCATATATAGGCTTCAAACATTTATGCAACAGTGAATCTTCATCATTCACATATTTTCATGTAATTTTAGCTCTTAAGGAATCCATTCTTTGAGTACAAGATTTGAGACCCCGTCCACCTAAATGCAACGGCTTGCATAGAATATCCCAACTGACAAAATGCAATCCATCTTCATTGTTCTTCTTGTGCCAAACAAACTTCCTACAGGCTTTATCAATTTCCCTCAGAACATCGATTGGAACCAGAGAATGCGTGCAGTAAAAAATAGGAATTGAAAGGATAGTCGATCTAGAAAGAGTCAATCTTCTAGCTAGAGAAATGAATTTAGCTCCCCAAGTTTCAAGCTTTCCAAGAACTTTCTCCAATAGAAAATTGTAATCTGAAGCTACCAATCTCCTTAAAGTATTGAATATTATACTTGGCACTATGAAAATATTTATCATCCATGCTTTTTTTTTTTTTTTGGAAAATCCACCTTGCTTAATTTAACGTTTCATGTCTTACCTACATGAGAGAAGCTCACGGATTCAATTCCTCTAGCTTCCCTAACATTAGACAAAACTCTTAGGAAAGCAATCCCCTAAGGCAACGCCTACATCCAGCCAATCAAGATCAAACCACAACTTCAATAACCTAGAAGACCTCTAGACAAAGATGTGCCTCCTATGTTGCCATCTTCTACTTGCTAAACAAGAAGATAAAGGGTGATAAAGACAGCACAAGCATCAAAGTGAGAGGTCAGTAGAAAAAGAAAAAGGTTAAGAGGAGAGAAATCAATATTGTAAGAAGGTGGAGAGAGCAAGAGAAAGCATGAATCAATTCTCAAAGTTACCAAATTGATTATCCACTTTTAAATTCATTTGCCGGGCAGCCTAAATTAACTAAGCCAACTAATAGACAAAGATTAAACAAGAGGGAAAGGTAGATCAAGAGATGAATAAGGGCAATAGAAAGACTTCCAAAGTAGATAATACCATAAAAAGAGCGAGATTAAAGGGTCTATTTCTTTATCAGCTTCCAAGTCCAAATGACTAGAAAATTGACAGTTGGTCCTTCAATAGATGGAGAAATGAATTAGACATCAATTTCCCAAGATTTAAAGCACAGCAATTAAGGGAATCCTACAACTAATTTCAAAGAGTAATGAGTACCACTTCACCTCATAAAGACTCTCAAAGCGGATATTAAATCCTAGTTAAGCATGTGAAGAGCAGATATTCTGGGAGTCTGACCTCAAAAATGGGCGGACGCAGGGGTTGGAAGCAGATTTTGCAATTGAGAACGTCGGGATCAATGCTGAATCTAAATTCTCCATCCGTATTACCTCCCCGGAGAACTCCGTCCTCACCTGTCGCATCTATCTCTACGAAATCCTCCGCTTCGACCGCATGTCCTCTTCACACCATCTTCCTCTTCGTTGCTCCTCTTCTTCCTTTTGCTCCCGCTTGTGCCCTCGTTCAAAGAGAACGTCGCCATAGCCTCGTCCCAAATGGCAAGCTCGGTTAAAATGCCTTTACCCCTCGACAAGATTTTGGGGAGCTGAGGAGATGCCTTACAATTGTTTTGAAAGATCGGTCCGGACCTATTTCCAAAATTGATTTCCTTCCAAAGAAAAATAATGGAGATGGTCCCATGTGGGAGAAATTATGGTGTGCGGAATTCAATCACCATGTGTCATGTCATTGAGTACACTGGGCCTCAAAATGCATCCGCTGACGTGACAAGTTATGATTGGAATCCAAATGCATTCGGATTCCACACACAATAATTTCTCCCCATCTAGGGGTGTAAACGAGTCGAGTCAAGTCGAGTATCTCGCTTATCAAGCCTGGCTCGTTTAACCCTTAATGAGCTCGAATTCGAGCTCGATTAATAAGCTCAAGCTCGACTCGTTTTAAAAATACCAAGCACGAGATCCACTCGAAAGCTCGAGCTCGAATGGAAAGCTCAAGCTCAAATCAAAATTTTAGTTTTTTTTTTTATTTTTTTATAACACTTAATTAAAAATTATTTTGAATTATGAAGAAATAAATATATAATGTAGACGAAATAAAAATATAATGAAAAAATTTATTTCTAACACAACTTTAACTTTTAATTTCTTTAAAAAAATTAATTGTAGAAGAAATAAATATATAATGAGCAATCATCAAATTTCATAACTTCCATTTTTTCACTTAATTTTTCCTTATAAATGTAATAATATATTAAAATAATTTTCTCAAAGACCATATTCTCCTTTATTTTAAAAAAATGATTAATATCAAGTGCAATTTTTATGCAATTAAATACAATTAAAACTTGATAAATATGGAAAAAAATATTAATATCAAAGTTACACCAAACTATTTTTCAGCTCCAAAAGAAGTTTGAAGATATAATTAAAATTAAAACTAAACAAAAGGTAGAACTATTTTTCTCTTTTTCTATCTGATAATCTAAATTCTTCAAACTCTTCCATCTCTACTCTCTAGTACCAATTAGTATGCAGCAAACTTGAAAAATTAAGAGGAGCTAAATAAGAATGAAAGTGAAAGTTGAGCTGTGCCAAAAATAAGAGGTTAGAGACAAAAAAAAATGCAAAAAGCCAAAAACTTACAAACAGAGAACTAAGGAACTAACCATTTGCAAATAGAACTTTACTTCATCGTAACAAAACAGTGGGTCTTGAGAATTTTCTAACAGTTACTAATGGCAAAGCTTAGTTTCTTCTATATTGTAGCCATTGGATTGCTTCTTAGCTGCCTTGTTGCAGGTTCGAAGATGCATGAACATTATAATGCAAACAGGAGACATGAAAATGCATGAACATTATAGAAAGGAAGACATAATAGAAATGTTGGATATGAAGTGGCGTGAACCGACTAATCGAGCAGGATCCATGAGCCGAGATGCCGAAAATCGAAGCCGTCCAACGAACTTCGAGGAAGAAGAAAGCCCGAACTCCCGTCCAACGCTCGCAGCTGAAAACCGAAGCCGTCGTCCAACGAACTTCATGGAAGAAGAAGAAGGCCCAAACTCCCGTCCAACGATCACAGGCTCGCAGCCGAAAACCGAAGCCGCTCTGGAGAGAAACGAAAAACGAATGCAAAAATATTTAGGGTTTAGGGTAACATATGCGGCGGCCAACGGGTTTATACTCATGTGACTCATGTCTGATTTTTTAACCAAAACATCAAATATTTAAATAATAATATTTATTATTATAAATATGATATCTAATTATCTATATTATATAAAATAATCGAGTAGCTTATCACGCTTTCGAGTCGAGTCGGATTGAGCCCGAACTCGAGCTCATTAATTAAGCGAGCTCAATTGTAAGCTCAAGCTCGAGCTCGAAGCTCGATAAGCTCGGCTCTCGAGCTCGTTAACGAGTCGAGTTCAAGCCGGCTCACGAGTCGGCTCGGCTCACTTACACCCCTAGTCCCGTCTTTTCGAATACTTTGAGAATGTTTGGTTTTATGCAAAATAAACACTTGTTTGATTAGGTATATTCAGAGTAAAGTAAAAGCATTTTTTTAATAATTTATTTTGGCATTAATTTTTAAGTTTCAAGTAATGTTTTTTACAAAAAAAAAAAAACTTCATTTAATAAAATTTTCACACTGACCATTTGTTTATCACCTAATAACTTTTACTCCATATATATGTATTTCAACACAAACGCTATTAGTTATACTATCTAATTTACCACAAATTGCACTCGTGCATATGCTTAACGCAACAAATTTAGTTGAACAGTACTGTCTGTAAAAAGAATCGTTACAGTCCTAAGATATTATATTTTATAAAACTTTTTAGCTGCCAAACTGTCGTAGAGCTTGTTGTTAAAAAAAGTTCATCAAATCAATTTCTATAAATCAAAGAAGAAAAATGTTACAAAAATAATAATGACAACAAATTGGAAAGCAAAACTGTAAGAAAATGCCCCCAAAAAATAACTCTTAATTGTTATTCATCACAAGAACGCACTACATTTGCATGTTTATTAGAACCCCAACAATAAATCAAAATGCAGTTCATAGTTCCAAACTAAAATAACAACTATACAAATAGCAATTAGAGGCTCATACGCTGCAAACTGCCAAAAAATGGAGTATGAAAAATGCATAAAATCCAACAATTTCTTTAGGCATTGCATCCGATAAATATTATTCCCAAGACACTGTCATCAAACTCAATGGGAGTGCAGATGTCCCTGTCTATGTTGTCATCACTTGCAAATCCAAATAATATGAGCAATTAGTATATCTTAAGCTTGCACCAAAAACAAAAACAAACAGGTAATTAAACAATGACTAATAAAAAAAGATTTAGGAAAAAAAGAGACAAGAAACATTTGAGAAGTATATGTCAAAGAACATAGAAAAAAGTAGCAATACTGGTGGCAGAAAATTATACATCATCGGCAGTAACATTACAGCTACAAAACTCCATAGAAAAAAGAACAATGTGACGTTGGTTATATCATACTAGTTCTGGTTATTCACAATGATGCGAGATGCATAATATAGAAATTCTAAAGCTGGCACTCTGTCCCTTTCCATGGAAAATAAATGCGAGTGACAGCTTTACATCTATGTCTTCATTCATGTAAACAAGCAAAAACTTCTTATAATGGACTTAGTGACGTTGTAGCCTTAATGACGAATTATTTAAGCTTTATTGTTGCATCTGATGATCCATGAATGCTTTCCATGTGGGTGATGTCATGGATGACAACGAAACATTGCATGTGGTGGATGACAGAGATTTTTTATACTCGTTTGATGATGTAACTAGTGTGATATATCTATGTTGTGATCTCTCTTAATTGTACCTCAATTGTATCTTTGTGGAAATGGATGACCCGAGGTTTAATGGTTGTCAGCAAGCAATGCTGAGTATTGTTAGCACATAGGAAGATGTTAGCAGAATATAGTCCACTGCATCTATTCCATAGAAAGGTAGGTAGAAACTGTCTTATGGAGGAATGTTTGTATAATACAGCTGTGAGAGGTGTAGCAGGATAAGGACATCCATCAAGTAAATTGTTTGCTTTGAAGTATGAGTTGATATTGTGGTTGAATGGATAAAATGATTTGATTAAAGTTTAGGGTGAACAAGACTTCACTGTCTCATGTAATTAGGTGGTCACAAATTGTTATTTATCTGGACCAGCTTTACTTATAAACAGTATGAATTGTGTTCAAGAACTCGACAAGTATTGAATCCATTTGTGATAGGAATCTTTGGATCCAGGATTAATGTAAACTTAATTAGGTGGCTAGTTTAATTGTGGTGGGAATAAACTGAAGGAAGAGATAATAAGACTTGAAATAACAGTAAACAAAACCATTAATGGCTGATAGAGAAAGCTCAGAGACTTGAAATAGTTGAGGCAACTATTCCCAAAGCATTCAACACAGAACTTGACGTCTGTATTCAAGACCCCGAGAAAGCTTAACGAACCAGAGGGAAGGAAATTTAATTCAAAATGGGCTGGGGACTCACTCCGGCGGCAGTGTTGTTCTCACAGTAGATTTGGACTCTGCCTCCACCGGTACTGACCTCGATTCTTAGCCGGGCAGCAATAACCGAGTTAATAACTCTTCCGCTATGTCCACCGGAGAAATGGAAGCTCTCGTCTCGAATCTAAATCACTCGATTTCATCGCCTAACGGCGATGTGTCGGCATCAAAATCTACTGAACCCGTTGCTACCTTTATTTCTCCCATTTCTACTCTGGTAGATGACGAGCCGCTTCATCTGACCTTTCACTCAATTGTTTCTGATGACCGATGTAGCTTTATCAGCGGGCCAGAATTAGGGTTAGATAACGGTAATTTAATACCATAGCTGGAATCATCCGCAGGAGTCACTGTAATGTCCTCGAGCCTATCTCCTTCTCAATCATCGTCCTGTCTTTGGCCATCGCACACGCTTGTTTCTTGTGATGAACAGAACCATTTTTTCCAAACCCGGCGATCATCCCACATCTTCCTCTTCCTCTGAGATAAAACGTAGAGATTCGATTCCGCGAAACCATCGAGCATGGAAAGAAGGGAGAAGAAGGGAGCACTTGCTCAGATTCATCGAAACCATCGCGCTTGAGGCTTCGCATGAGAGTATTTCTAATCCTCTCAATCTGAGCGGGTTTCATTGTCGCGAGACGGGCGTCGTATAATACACCGCTTATGCTTCCGAGTACTTCATTATGTTCCCCTCAAAATCAACCAAACATTGTAATTTAAGAGATACATGCAATTAAATTACTTTATCCTCTTAATTCTACATATAAGGCCTTCTATATATAAAGAAGGATATGGCCTACGGCCAAGAACTGAATGCAACATCAGACATTACAAACTAATAATATATTATGTATTATTATATGCTAATACACCCCTGCAAACTAATGGTTGTTGGATAACTTTCAGTTTGGATCTTAGAAGATAGAATCTTGGCGTAGATAGCCATTTGGAGAATATATCGGCTACTTGATCAACAATGTTGATTTGTATAAGGCGGATGTTGTTGTTTTGAATGTGATCCCTGATGAATTTTTTATCAATTTCGATGTGCTTTGTGCGAGCATGAAACACTGGTTTGTAAGCTAGGCAATTGCTAAGGTGTTGTGGCAATACATATCTGTAGGACAGTCTTGTGGTATGCCAAAGTCATGAAGTAGTCGACGAAGCAAGATAATGTCTAATGCAAGTCCTGCCAATACCTTATATTCTAATTATGTAGATTATCTTGTGACAGTATGTTGCTTTTCTTGTAAGTCCTGCCAAAGCGGTATAGTCCAAACCATATTCTTGATTATTTCCCTGAGCAACTAGTCTTGCCTTGTGCTTAGCCACCAATCCGTTTGCATGAAGTTTGACGTGGTAGGTCCATTTGCATCCTAGGAACGATGATTCCTTGGGTTGCTGAACCAAACTCCATGTACCTTGCTTTTGCAGAGCGAATAATTCCATGGCTATAGCTTGTCTCCATTATGGATGTTTGATAGCCTCAGTATATATAGTGGGAGCTGTTAGAGAGTCTATCATGGTGTTAGCATGAAAAAATTTAAATGAATGCGAGGTTTGAGTGATCCTGTCTTAGTCCGAGTGATCATATGGTGTTGAGGAGGTATGGGAGATGGTATGTGATGAGACGGGTCTGTGAGATCTATGGGATTGTTAGCAGGAGATGTAGTGAGGGGATGTTGTATTGAATCATTAATGTGAGCTGGGGATATAATTGATTTATGTGAACTGTTGATCGTAGTTGGGACCGACACAGATGTGGATTGAAGAAAAATGGCGAAATATCATGAGTTAGGTGTGCAGATGTAGATTGATTTTTGGCAAATGTGGTATGTTTTGAGATTTGAATTTTTTTTATTATGAATATTGAGGCATTTATATCTTTTATAAGTGTTAGAATAGCCAAGAAGACACAAGATTTAGATTTAGGTTGAAATTTGTGACTAGCGTTAATGGAAGAAGTGGAAAGCATTCACAACCGAACGTACGAAGATGACTATAATCGAGTTTGATTTTATGAAAAATTTCAAATTGAGAGATATTTTTAGTGTTTATAGAAGGCATCATATTGATTAAATACACAGAAGTTAAGACAGCTTCTAGACAATGGTGATAGGGAACCGAAGTAGTTAACAAGAGCATTCTTGTAGTCTCAATGATGTGGTGATGCTTACGCTCAGCAACACCATTTTGTTTCGGAGTGTAAGGACAAGAGATTTGATGGCTGATTCCATGAGCTTGGAAAAATTGATTGAATAATGATTAACATATTTAGTGCTACCATTTGTGCGAAGTGTTTTAATAGCTAGAGTGAGAGGTATATTTCTCAACTTGTTCTTTAAACAAAATAAAAATATTCATAAACTCATATTTATGTCTCATAGAAAATATCCAAGAAAATCTAGAGAAATCATCAACGAATAGAACTTAATATCTAAAGCCTTGAATAGAAATAATTGGGGCTGGACCCCAAATGTTAGAATGAATAAGCACTAGAGAGGAGTTTTTATAATTTACAGATTTATCAAAATCAAGTTTATGGCTTTTAGATTCTTTACAAGACACGCATGAAGAAAGATTTTCTTCAATATTCAGATGTAGATTACATCTTTAAATCGCTTTTAGTACTCTCTC